TTGCACCTGCCAGCCGTGGATTGAAACTTTCGAAACTGTGAGCCAAAGTAAACCTCTCCTTCAGTTGTTGGGTATTGTGTCTCAGCAACAAGGGAAACAACTAAGACAGTCCTCCTTCACTTTATTCACCAGATGTGCTACTGTGCAACTTTGGGTCTTCCCCAAAGTCAAAATGACCATGAAAGGTAAATGTTTTGAATCAAGTCAGAACACTAAGCAACTAAAGACACTCATGAGATAGATCTTCCAGAACTACTGCAGACAGGGGCAAGAACAATGGAATAAGTACCGCATTTGAAGTAAAGAGGAGTATTTTGAGGGAGATTAACGACAATGTGTGTTTTATTGTAATAACATTCTTAAATTTAAACATTAACCACATTTTTCGATCATGCCACATATCTAGTGGCAGGGTATTCTGCATCCAGAAAAGAGACAGGAGACGGCCTGAGAGAGGTACACGTAGTCCACATACGGCAAGTGTGATGAGTGAAGAGAATATCAGTTGAAAGGGAACTGTTAGAACCACTGGAGCCAAATTATTAAGAAATCACTGTGATTTAAACTAAAGTATGAGATGATACCTTCAAGTGAGAGCAAAGGGGATGTTATAAGGGAAAATAGAAACAATGCCTATAAAGAAGGGAAAAATGAGCACACTGGGGAGACAGGGCAGCAGAGATATGTATGAGCTTGAGTTTAAAGTGAGATGGGGGATTTTCCGCAGCCCTGAGCACAGAAGAAAAGGGACTATTTTTAGTACCCTTAATAACGATAAATCCCAAAGCAAGTGTCACAGTCCTGAAGATAACATATAATCACTGCTGAGAATATAAACTGGCACAATCCCTTCTAGAAAGCAATCCATCAACCTTGCTCACTTACCTAAACACAACTGGGGAAGAGTGCCAGACCGAGTATTTAGGAGGAAAGCACACTTCCATTCAAGTCAGGTGGGCCTTCACACTGCTCTGAGCTTACGTCTTCTCTGGGGTAAGAGCTAATTGTCCAGAAGCACATGTTTCTAGCTTCAGAATAAGGTGCTAGATAAATCAATTAGAATGACTTAATTTGAATATTCTGAAATTCTTTCTAGCTTTGCTTTAATACTGCAAGCTTTAAAGTACAGAAATGATGTTAACAATTTAAAATCCATTTTAACAGCATATATATTAATTAACATATGACAATATATTGTCCAACAGATTTTTAAGCAGCCTTCTCAGACAAAATGAATGACCTAATTTTGGTGACGGTCACTCAATCTCAGAGTCCTAGGTGCTTCTGGAGGAAGCTGAGTTCTACTTGTGACCTCCAATGAGCCCCTGACATCAGAGAAGTGGACTGGAGATGGGTGGAGGAAAGACCAATGCTGAACTGGGCAAGTGAGACAGTCCACGACACTGAGGTCTGGAGCCTGAGAAGGGCCAAGAAGGTGGCAATGGGACAGGGGCTCCGCTGTCTCACCGACAGTGCAAAACCCTGTCCCATTCCGGAGGAAAAAAGAAAACTGGGTGGGACAGGACCAAGGCCCCCGGCATCTCTCAGCCCAGATGGTCCTGGTGCCTTCAAGGGTTTGGCTGCACAGAGGACTCTGGGAGAACAGCGCCCCATTTTGGGGTGTGGGGCAAAAGGCCTTGTGCGAGCAGCCCTGGCAGCACATGCTGGGCTGGACCCCTGCAGAGGCTTAGCTCATCACTGCGATCAGCGGGGCTTGTGAGGGAGAATGCAAACTAGTGCTGGCCCAAGTCAGAAAAATGGTTCCCCATTTACAACAACCTCTGCCCACTCTGAGAGCAGGACCTCAAGCATCCATGAGAGCAGTCAGGGACTACTTTTGCAGTCATTAGAACGAAGGATCAATGGTTTCCCAGAATAAGGCTGAGCTAATGCATGAACCTATGTCATGGGTGGCTTATCCACAGCCGAAGAACCTTGGCTATCCTAGATAGGGCCAAAGCCCTCATCCATCTCAGTGCTGCCATGGCTGGCACATATAAGAAGAGGAACCCAGAGGCACAAAGTCCTGCCTGACCTAACAGTGTGGGCTCCTACTGGGTAGACAGGTAGAGCCAAGCTGTGTCCAGTGGTGAGAAAAGTCCCATCATAAGACCTCAGAAACACAGCCAGTCCAACCCAAGAACATGGCCAGTAGGAAAGTGACACATGTTCGGTGGGACCTTCCTCCACAGTACCTTCCCAGGAGAGCTGCAGCAACCCAGGGCCCATAAGCTTTCTGGGATGGGGAACTTAGCTTTCATGTTCTCAGCTGTTCCCGTCTCCACAACCATGCATAGTACACATAGTCCTCATCAAACAATGGCTCAAATCACAAGTTTTCAATTTTACAATGATGTGAAACATATGTGTGCAGTAGAAATCATACATCAAATTTTGAAGTTTGTTCTTTTCCCAGGCTGGCAATATGCAGTGCGATTCCCTCTTAATAATGCTGGGCATCAGCGGGAAGCACAACAGGATGCTATGCTGCCAGCTGCCAAGTTCAGGAACTTAGGTGCATTTCCATGCATTTTTTACTGGATAGCATTTTACATTTCCAATGGGTTTATTGGGACTTAACGCTACTGTTCAGTCAAGGAACATCTACACTTAGCTACCAAAAGGACAAATGAGGATGAATGTACAGCTGGAGTCACAGCGGCTCAGCCTTGGTTGGCCACATCAGCAAGTACACCGATGAAAAGGGAGGTGAGATTCGAGGGCAAGAACAGAGTGGCCCACAGTGTGAACAGTCATGGCTCGCTTTTATCGGAACACACACACACAGACTTTGGAGCACATCGACAAACAGTACCCAAGTTTACACAGAAGAGCATAAAATGAATACATGTACATGTGCATTTTTAAAAAATGAGTATCTTCAATACTCTTTGGTCTAAATTTTCTAATTAATAGCTGCAAATATATGTTTTTTTAAATATCAAGGCAGAAATATCTAGATGAGCTGATTTCTAAGAAGTCAGAGGACATCATGCAGTGGCCATGCGCATGCAGAATATAACAGTTAGCCTGCAGTTGGGAGATTTTCTTTATGACAGCTTGCCTACATTCATAAAAATCTGAAGAATTGTTTCAAAAATAGGAGATTCAAAATACAGTTCTAAGTAGTATCTGGAGACTACACTTTAATAAATTCAGCTACATCTATAAGAAATCTATTTGCTGATTTAGCAGGTTATTTGAAAGGCATAATGGATATAACTTTGACTAGAAAGGTAAAACAAGTTTCTCAAAGCTTATTATTCCATTATTATTTAATTGTTACATGTAAACTTACAGGTAGGTCAAGTGTTAGCAAAAGACAGAATTTTTAAAACTTTTTCTTGTTTTTTGTCTTATTCTTATCTGTTTTGTGATGCTTACTCCAACACTTTCAAATAAAATTTCAAAATTTATTACAGCACTCTCATGCCTATTACATAACTCTATTCCAAAAGCATTAAAGCTATTTGCTTTTAACAAAAACATAGTAATATACTCTAGTTCTGGTAAGAAAATCAAGAATGCAAAAACAAAACTGGAGAGAACTCAAATAGCAAGTTTTGTTTACAAAGCTAAAATATCAGAGATTGATTTTCATATTTGCATCTTGTGGCTTTCCCATGACTACACACACATACACACATGCACAAGGGCGTGGACACCCAGGTACACACATGCACACACATGCACGCACAGTCATTCACATGCACATACTGACTGCTTCAGCCTCCACTCTGGGGAGGTGGGAGGCAGGTAAATGGCTCCTCACTTCACATTCACAAGGCTTCTGGATAACCTTTTGTACAAATGATATACTTGACAGAACTTCCAGAATTTTACAATCACATCTTTCATTTTTGGGCAAAAATATAAAATGCTGAAAATTTCCCCAAGAAACTTCACAGGCTCTTTTAAAGGCCTAGGCTCTTGGTTGACATGTGCTGCTTTTTCTCTTACAATTGAAAAAGTCTGATTTGGCAGAAATCCTAAATTTTGCTCTAATCCTGTGGTTTCCTACCTAAGTGAATGTTCAGTAATTCCCTCTACTCATCTTGAGGCACTAAAGGCCACAATGGTGTGGATTTCAGTTTATATTGTTATTTCCACCTTTAGCTGTGGAGTCTTCTTTAGAAAGCTGTAGACTCACAGCAGTTGGAGATGTCTTTCTCCATGATATCCATATGAGCTCCATTCAGTACTGTGAGCTACTCCCAGAATGGACATGTGTAGGCCGAGAAACATACACACACACACAAACACACACACACACACACACCATTCGAAAACAAAATAAAAGTCACTGCAAAGCAGTGCAAGAGGCAAGAGGTTTTATGAGTACCATTTGGCAAGTTAAAATTCAAAGTAAGTAAGGACCAGCAGTGACAGGTTAGACAGGCCACCCCCAGAAGGTCTGCTGGTTCCCAGGGCCCCCGCCTCAGCCTCAGCGAGGCAGCCTTGCTTCTCCATATGAGCAACTGTGCTGTAAAACCTGGAGAGAGCTCTCCTCCTCTGGAAGTCACTCTCTTAGTCATTCCTATAAATATCCATGGCTCCAGCTCAATGAAGCTCTGTGGAGACTCTCCCTTATAATTTGCATAGCAGACATCTTTTCAGCTGTCAGATAGCTTTGAGAAAACTTTATGAAAGGCTCTGCAGTGTCAGGGCAATATTAATTACAGGCCTTTGTGGCTGTGATGTGGGAAATCCGTCCTGGGGGAATCTGCGTTCTCAGATATGGCAACCCAATTACAGACAGTCCATCCAAGGAGGCTGCTTCGAGGCTGCTTTGAGTCTGCTTGATGGCTATTTTTAGTCACAGCAATGCCCCACATCTTAGGGTGATGAAATGTTTTTCTTCCACAAAGCTCAAAGGGTTTCATGGATGCTTCCTACTTAATCTGAGGACATGGCTTCACTCACTATCATCATCTCAACTGAGAAAATCAACCCCCGCATACCATGCAACTGCAAAATTGGCCCCCAAGAGGCGGACAGACCTGAGCCCGTACAGCACCGTCCCATCAGGGTGTAGCCGAATCATGCGGTTTTTCACTGTCACTCCGTGCACAAATGACTTTTTGTCATTTAAGAAATAGGTGTCGGGCACCCACAGCTGGTCAGCTACTCGATTGTCAAGCGTGAGGTTGAGAGGGATCCCAGAGTAGGCGAGCCTTTTATCTCTCCAATATTGTTGAAAATACATGGTTAAAGTATAATCCTGCAGGGGTGGGGGAGAAAAGAAAAGAGCAAATTAGTTTGTGTGCAGCTACGGGTGTAATTCCTCCATAACTGGCCAAATTTAGGGTGCAATCCTCACTCCTCAGTGAATATCTAGGAGAAATGGGTGTCACTTTTAAGCAGAACAGGAAGCAGTGGTTGATCCTTATAAATGCAATACAAGGCTGAATGGACGCCTTTTATGAATAGACATGTGTTGTGCATGAACTTAATGAACAAGGAGACCAGACAGTCTTTTAGGAGATAACCACATAGAAATAAGGCTGCTGGCAGGGACCCTCATGGCTCACAGGTGAGCTACCTCCCACCAGACAGACCGGCGCTCTACCCACCTACCGCAGATGAGCTCCAGCTACACACTGTCTCTGCAACTGAAGCCACTTTCCCTCATTCCACCTTCTGTGAGGCTATAAATACAAGCCTTCCACAAACAGCCCTGGAGATGGAATGGCCTGCGGGAGGGCTTTATACTCCACCTATCACAGACTCTCTTTCCTTCAGCTCACTGAGGCCATTTCTGGGTTAACTGGGCCATAACATCACCTGGAGACGATGACACATCGGTCTGGGGACACGGGCCCCGGGCGCCACTGTAGAACCAGGAGATGGGCCACAGCGCTGCTGCTGCCGCCGCCACACAGGCTGCAGACAAAATTAGCAAACTCCCCTGCAGAAGACTCTGCTCTTCACAAAGCAAGTAGTTCAGTGGGGAAAAGGCAAATCAGAGGGTAGACACGGGGGAAAGAGAAATTGTTTTGCTTTTTCTTTTTTTTCCCCCTTCATTTAGGGGTTGCAAGCTCTGTTTAATTCCAAAATGATGAAGTCCCAAATATGGTTATAATCACAGGACATCTGAACCCCACTGTGGAAGAGTCTGAAAAGAAAAGGCGAACAGGGAGGGAAGAGCTTCGTTGTCCACACAAGGCAAGGAGCCCTCTGAGTCCCCAGACTGCCAGACCGGTCTGCAAACACCTTCACTTTCTGAATGGTGCGCTGGGTGGCAAATCACTAGGAATCCACCCCACACACAGATCCTCTGGAAGCCCAAAGGGCTGCTTTCCTCTGCCCATGGGCAGCTCTTGGTGATGAGGCTCCAACAAGGCCAATTTATCACTGCTCTCAGCGGTGTTTTGGCACAGAGACTTAGGGGGGACAAAGATCAGATGCCAACTCTATTTCTAGTTGTACACAGCAAGAGGAAGTGGGAAAACCCACATACACTGAACGATGTGCTTTAAATCGTAAGACCCCAAACTTTGGAGAAGGAGGCAAGGAAATGCAAATGGGCTGGCTAGTCCTTAGAGAAGTTTGCTCTCACAGTGAAGGAGAGGTTGCGTTTGAGCAGATGAGAAAAATGGGACTTTCACCCCAGGACCTTCCATGGGCAGAGCTCCGGCCTGGCGCTACCTGCAAGGATGCTCCCCCCAACCCCTGCCAAGTGCAGCCTCTCACTCTGAACACAGGCTCCAGGCAGCTGCGCAGTGGGAAGGAAATGGAGAAAGCACTGGGGAGCACTGGCAGGCACAGAGCCCATGGGCAACTCTGAGGATTTGGTCCTGTTGGAAAGCAGGGTTCAGGGTGCTCAGCAAGGACAGGAAGGTGGAGAACCTCAGCTGTTCCCTCCCAGCCAGCGGGAGCCATTTCGCTCCAGTGCAGCAGAGGGGCACTGCCAGCTGTATTCACCTTGTGCCTTTTATTGTCTCTGTTATGCTTTGACATCTGGGCCTTGCTGACCCTAGAGGGGCCGCCCCTTCCAGGGCTCCCCAATTCTCACAGAGTCAACAGCTGCTCTGAGACCACACCTTTCATATTCATAGGCAAAACGATCCACGTGGACCCAGACCCCAAACCTTCTTTGTGGGGCTTCCCATTCCAGGCACTACCCACTACCATCTGGCCCTAGGCCCGGGTACCCGATGGCTAGGAAGAGCCCTCTGCCCTCGGCAATATTAAGCGGGGCAGTCCAATCCTGCCTCACCTGTTCTAGGCACCGGCCCTAGCTGCTCTCTCCCCACCTCCTGACCCTGCTGTGCCTCCGTATGGCCCCGTCCTGAGCTGTCCTTTCTGCTTGGGAACATACAAAGCAAGGCGTCCTTTCAGCGGCAGCTGCCTCCTGACCCACCAGCCACACTGCACCCTGGTCACTCACCTCTGCCTTAAAACACAGAGATGTGGGGCAAGGAGGGTAGAGACCTCTGCCGGGAAGCTTCGCACCCCGAAGGTCACCATGAAGTGCGGTCAGGACTGTGCTGCATTCTAGGGGCAGCGCGCCAAGTGCTGGGGCATACAAGACAGGAACCGATTCGGGCCGCAGCTAAAGGCTTTCCTATTTGAATGTCAGCTCCTCCAAACTATTTTCTTATGGGAATAAAAGATTTTTACTCATTTCTTGCATTCCCAGCCTGAGTCACCAAGTCTAGCACTCTCCTCAGAGTGCCCCCAGCCCGCTCTCAGGCGGTCTGCCACGGGGAAGGGGAAGGAGAAAACACAGCAGTGTGAGCTTGGGACCCGGCTGTCTTGCAGTTGGAGAGTTCCAGGTGGCGGCTTTCTTTTGGACGGCGTCGCTCTCTATGATCAGCAGCACCTCCTGGTTTGGATCTTCAGTGTCTGCTGAGGTGACTTAGTGGATGGGGTGGAGGCTTAGGGCACAGTACTGAGACCCAAACCCACTGCCCTGCTCGGCCTTGTGAGACAGCGCCAGGTCCCCCAGGGAGGGTGCTGGTCAGCAGCCACTTCCCTGGGCCCATGGCCGAGGGGAAGGGGTGGCGGAACGGTCGAAGCCTCCGTCTATCAGCTGTGCTCTTGTGGGCTGGGAATGGAGGGTTTCCTGCCCTGGAGTGGCGTGAAATGCAGTCTCAAGGACCGGGCCTAGTCACCAAGGCAGCCGCTGACGCGTCCTGACGCTTTCCTGTGTGTTGCACCTCATCTGCCCACATCTCTTGTGAAGACGGACCGGACCGGGTGCTGCCAGGGCTGCTTTTACTCCCGAATGAACAAAGAGAGAAATGTAGAGAACTGATTTGTCTCCTTCTGGTCTTCACCTTGAGAGCAGGTGACTGAGGAGAGTGGGTGGCCATCGGGGCCGCCTCCCTCCAGAGGGGTCTCCACACAGTGAGGGGCCAGTGCGGCCAACTTGCCCAGGTCTCGAAGGGTGAGGGGCCACGGGGGTTCCCAGGGCGCCCTCCACGCCCACCTTCATGAACATCAGAGCGGCTGTGAAGTCCACACACCGTCCCGTAAGAGCTGTTTTCTGGAAAGGATCCTGAAACGCTGTGTGCTTCCCCACCTGGAATGGTGTGTGCTGGACCGCAGAGAGGAGCTCAGCTCTGGGAGAGGCCACTGCTCTGCATCTCAAACCTGCTCCGCAGCAGAAGAGGCCTTCAAAGTCACACCCCAGAAGGACAGGATGTGGTGGGCTCCTAGTGGAGCACAGGTGAGTCGAGGGATTCGGCTTCCGTCTATACCCAGGAGACCCTGGGTATGCAGACAGGGAACTGCAGGGAAGGCCAGCTGGGAAGCCACCCTGAGGAGGGATGGGCACCTGCTGCAGGTGCTAGCGAGAGCTTGGGGAGGTGGCACTGGGCATCACTCGAGACATTCCTGGCGCCCTTCACAGAATCAGCCCACCCCTCCACCAGTTTAGTCAGGGACGCTTTGCCAGACCCTCAGACTGCACAAGAACACAACTGTTTATTCAGATACTCATTCAACCATTCAACAAGTATTTACTGAGCACCTCTCATGTGTCAGTTAATGTCCGGAGAGAAGATGAACTAAACACAGTATGTCACTGGGGGGGCCCTCTAGCAGAGGAATTGGCTGCAGGGAGCTGCAGTTCAAAAGCTGCCTGAGTTAAGTGGTACACTGAACATGAAGGGCGACACAGAGAAGCTATTTCCGGGTAGGGTGATCAAAAGCAACATCCTGGAAAGAGAATGATGTGAGCTGAGCCTTGAGGAAGGGATAGGGGGTCTGAAACCCATCCAACAAGATCCCAGGAAGCAGCGACATCACAACAATCACCACAAAGTGCCCAAGGACAAGGCCCAGGAGGCTGCGGCTCCACAGGGTGCTCAGGAGCACCTCCCTTCTCCCTGTGGTGATCACCCCAACACGGTACATCTGAGGAAGCCCCCCGGAAGGAAGGAAGAGGACATGGCAGAGTCTCTAAAATGGCAGTCCCCAGGCAGAGGGCTTTCGGAGGCTTTGACAATTCTGGAAATCCAAACCAGCTAAGACTGGACAGTGGTCTGGGGTGATGGCACAGCAGGGGCTCCACACCCATGACTTCACAGAGGCCCCACCTTGATGTGTTCGTTCAATCCACAAAGGGGGGCGGCTCAGGTGCCCTGGGCTATCAGACTCCCTAAGACACCAGGACCCTCGGCCAGGGTAGCAGGAGTCTTGACTCCAGCCTCCTTACCCACCTCGGCCCTTTGCAGCGGAGGCGGAAGCACCTGGGTTGTCAGGTTGAGGAGGAGGAATGGGGGCTGCAGGAGGGTGGGACTGGAGGAGCTTGGAGGATGGGGAAAGGACATGGCCAGTGGAGCAAGTGCCAAGGGGGAGAGGTGCATGGGGAGGAGGCACGGGGCAGGGATTCGGTGAGGCCTGCAGGAGGAGCAGGTGCTCCTTCACCACAGCATGCGGGGGCGCAGGCTCCTGGACCCTCACCCTGGCTCTCTGGCTGCGGTACCTTGGGCCCTGCCAGCACATGGGCAGTGCATGGGCCGGAGCGGGCGGGGCAAGGCAGAAAGGCCAGGAGCACATGCAACAGCAGCTGCCATGGGGCTGCAGAGACAGACAGCGTCCAAGAGTCCGAAGATGTGGGGGGAGCAGCACTGACTCCTGACAGGACCCCAGATCTTCAGCCCTGGCTCAGACGCGAGCCTCACAGATTTTCCTGTTGTAATTTGGTGTGGCTTGCTTTTCTAAGACTACTGTTTGAGGGAGAGTTGAGATTCAAGCATTTATAAAATACCC